AATCCCTGAGGAGAGGGAACCTGTGACAGAGCCTTCTAGTATTTCCACTTAGGGGCATGGTATAGATCAAGAGCCAGCAAAAGATGGAGAACTAGGAGATAGTTGTTTGTCCTTCCATGCTGGAAGAGGACCATGACATCTGGGAGGTGACATCATGACTTGCAAATGAATTGGGTTTAAGTGAGGCAGGGTTGTGCAGAGTTACCAGCTTTACTCCTTCCTCCAGAGCCATCTGAGTCCAGTGACAAGATATAGGTCAGGATGACTGGGAGACTGCCCAGATGCAGTGGGAGACCTTAGGCCTTTTAAGCTAAGGTCTTTCCCAGGTCTTGGTTTGTTTGAGGCAGCACCCATTCAGCGATTCGGACTAGGTGAGAAATGAGGCAAAGAGTGGCGTCTTTTACTTAGTCCAAAAAAAGAAAGAAAAAATCCATCTGGGAAGGGGAGACCCTCAGGATTTCTAGCCAAACCAGAAATGATTGCTGTTTACACTTACTCTGAGCCATTGGGGCCCAAACGGTGACCAAGCCTGGACTGGGACCTATTGCTGGCCAATCAATGAGAACCAGAATGGTTTAGGTTTAAGGCATGGTCCTTAAAAAAGAAACCTGTCCTGTAAACCCCAAGATATTGTATGAGGTTTCAGCAATTAAAATTTATTTTCCTTTTGGGCAGAGCACCTGAGACAGTAGTGTCCTGGAGACTCCAGAGAGGAGAGACGATTTGAGAGGTGGCCAGGAATGCTGCAGAGTCAGATGTGGTAGTTTAGAGAGAAGGGGAGGTGAGCTGTGCTCTGGCTGTGTGAAGGGGGACTTGTTTGCGGTGAGGCTGAAAGGGTTGACTTGGCTGCAGCTGACTTATGTCAGCAGCTGTGTGAAGGATAGATTGGAGGAGACAGAAGGAGACCCAGGAGGAGAACTTAGTTGCTGTGGTGAGAGGGGGCGCTTACTGAGTGAGTGAACTGACATAGGTTGGAAACAGCTGTTAAAACTCCTGTGATGATGAGAAGTGGGGCTCTTGTGAATGGGCCACATGGGGAGACCTCGACTTTAAAAAGCAACCAAAAAGTAATGAGGGTGGTTGTAATGGGAGTGGATGGGAGGGGACAGATGTGAGAGATAGGAGCATTGATAACTGATGAGATGTGGGAGATGGAGAAGACAAAGTCCAGGAGGAGGAGGGGGCGGAGTACTTAAAAGTCTGGGTGACTGGGAGAACGGCAGGGCCAGGAGTAGAACCAGGCAATGAGGAGCAGCCAGTTTTGGAGGGAAATGATGAGCTCAGTTTCAGACATGCTGAGTTTGAGGTCCTGGTGGGACATCAAATCAGAATGGTGGAGGACTGGCTATCAATTGGAAATGTTGGTCTGAACATAAGAGTTACAGGAGTCATTCACATGACTGAAGCAGGTTGAGGAAAGGATTTGGTGGAGGGCCCCGACATGAAGTCAGAAGGAAGAAGAGAGAAAGCGTAGGAGGGGAGCCAGTGAGGGAAGAGAGAGAGTGCAAAGGTCAGCGGAGTCAAGCAGCAGAAAGATCCAGGAGATCCAGGCCGAGTGGTTGAAGGAAAATTGTTTTCTCCTAAGGGAACATGAGCTCAGTTAGAGGGGGCTTTTTTCAGGATGTGGGTGAGTGCTTCCTGAATCCTTATGCATTATGACTTCAGTTTTTAAGCATGGTTCTAACCTTGGCTTCTTTCCATCTAGTCCATCTGAAAATGCCATACTGGAAGCTTTGTCTGAACCAGGCTTCCTGGGTGTTCTTTTCAGTTGATTCCACTAATCCTTTCGGGTCAGCAAACAGTTATTAATCACTTACTAAGTGCCAGGCATTGGGTTCTTAATCTCTTTTTGTGTCATGGATCCTATTGGTGAAGTCTGGTAACACCTAGGAGCTCCTTTTTTTCTCATAATGAGGTGCATAAAATACATGGGATTACAAAGGAAGTAATTTATATTGAAATAGCTATTGAGGTATGTTTTAAAATTTCACTGACTCCAGGTAAATAATTCCTGCTGTAAATGTTTGTTTAAAATGGCATTTTTGGGGCAGCTAGGTGGCACAGTGGGTAGAGCACCGACCCTGGAGTCAGGAGGACCTGAGTTCAAATGTGACTTCAGACACTTGACACTTACTAGCTGTGTGACCCTGGGCAAGTCACTTAACCCCAATTGCCCCCCCAAAAAAATAAATAAATAAAATGGCCTTTTCCATAGAGAAACACAGGAAATCTTAAATATGAGTAATGCACTATCTCTAAGCTTCCACAGAATTTAACATTCTTTGAAGAGATTGGACTTTGAGGGGTATGACTTTTAGTGGCTTCTCTTCAAGTCATTTCTGCCCTTCCTCCCCAGCTTCAGTTGCTGTGTTATCACTCACAGAAGCAGAGCTGTACAGGGACCTTGAGTAGATGAAGGTGTCACTCTAAAGATTTTGAAAGGGTCTGTGATTGTCAGTGGGAATTCTTACTCATGAAAACTGCTACCCCTCCTCCATGTTTGTGTAGAATTGCTGTGGCTAGTGTTGTGGTCAAGAGCCTCCCAGATGTTAGGTAGCCTAGCCCTTGGACGATGGGTACAGCGTCCAGGCTTGTCTTTCCTGCTTGGTAGGATGGATCAAAACTTGTACTCTGGCTCTTGAGAGCCCACTGTTACCTCCATGGCACTATGTCATATTGGACAAGCAGACTCATTGTGCTTGTCCTTGACTAGTTCCCTCCTTAATTGGTATTGGAGTGCCTGCTCTGTGCAGAGGCAAAGCATGGCCTCTGTTGGTGTAGGAGCTGTGAATGATGTGAGGGGACCAGACACAAACAAGGAATCACAGCCAGATGATTGGTGCAGACAGAACTAAGTGAGTACATTAGGCATTAATGGGTGATGTAGCCCACCACTCAGGAAAGGAGGGCTTCATCTATTCAGGTAGGTTTTAAGTTGGGCTTTAAGTGATGGGGAGAGAAGGAGAGGCCAGTCCTCATGAGTGGATGCAGGACCAAAGGCCCAAAGGCAGGTGTATATTCTGTTACCTTGGAGCCTGGGGAGCTCTTTGCAGAAGCTGTTTTTTGAGGGGGAATGAGCAGAGGCTGAAAATCTGAGAATGCAAATTCTTCATTTATTGTACGTACTAAAGAAGTTATTGGAGGTGAGAAATGCTTCACAGACTTTAGTTATATTAGGTACAGCAGATCTAGCAATTTCACATTTTTACTACTCAAAAAATAAGGCCGTGTGTTTTGAAAGTCATTGTCCCCACCCTTTGGGTTTTATTCTGTTAAATTGAATCAGCATTTATTAGTACATGGAAGGCACTGAGCTAAGTAGTAGGGATGCAGAGACAGAATTGCCCCTGCTCAGAGTCACTGACAGTTCAACGGTGACAGTTCAACGGGATAGAGAGCATATCTGTGGCTCAGTAAATGTAAGGTCAGTTGTTGAGGGAGAGAGTACTAACATTTGGGGTGATTAGGGAGAGCTTCATGGAGGAGCCTTGAAGGAAAAGAAGCTTTTGAGAGGTAGGAGATGAGAGGTGGGGGCATCTGTGGCTTCAGGGATTCAGAAAGGGCCCCTTGAGTTTGGGGAAGAGCTAAGAAGCTGGGTGGACTGGATGCCGGCAGGCACAAAGTGGAGTAGGCTGATTCTAGATGTCACGGAGCAGAATTCTTGCTTCACATTCCATGTTTGTTGATAAAATAAAAACTCCAGGTGGTTTGAAAGATAGAAGGCTATACGCGCTGGTCAGCTTTGCTGGGCTGCTAAGTCTCAGTTCTCCTGATACCTGAGAGGCAAAGAAACAAGTATGGTACGGAGCTCGTGGAGAGCAGCTGTGCCCAGAATTTCAGCCGGTTTTGGAGGAGACTGAGCGAGCCGCTAAGGCTGAGGGTTGGGTATTGCAGTCTAGAGGCCACGTTTGCTTTGGCAAATGTGGGGAAGGGAGAGCCTTTGACAGGGAGACCAATCAGGAGGCTGTTTTTAAAAAATAAGTCCAGGTGAGAGATCATGTGAGAACCTTAAGTTGGGTGGTTGTGTGGGTGTGGTTAGGTAGGGAGAAAAAGGCATGGCTGCTAATGATATTCTGGCAATTAGAATCAGCATCCCAGGGCAAAAGGGGGGGGGGTGAAGAGATGGAGCTGCGCTTCCCAAGACATGTGACTTGTTGGTAAACTACCTTCCTTTGGTCTAGGTCCCATGATCTTAATTGCTTGAGAATGTACATTCTTACTCTCCCAAATAAAATCAACCTGTACAAGGCTTTGGGGAAGTGGGAAGTGTTTGGAATTGATCAGGAACAACTTCGTTCATAAGTCTGACCGCAGATTTCATGATGGTCAGAGAAGCTTTGGTTTTTGTGATGCCTTTTGCTTGCGTGGGGCCATGGAGATGATCAGACGAAGCCCCTCTTTCAGGGATGTGAAAGCATAGCAAAAGCTTCTTGTGGTGGACTTTGTCTATGAAATGGCAAGTTAAATGAAGGGTCACTGAATATTTAATGACTACTAGTTAGAAATGTGCTATAACATTTTAAACATAGATCTTGTGACTTCCCTGATTTCAAAAGCTCATCTTGCTGATAGGAACACATGAGAAGGATCGATGCTTTCCTAAACATGGGGAACTTGCTGTGTGGGAGTTTCTGCTAATGAGTCAGGACAGATGACAGTTGTTTGTGACTTGTTCTCTTAGCTAGTTAGACTTAGAAGTGGAGTTTGAACTCAGGTGTTCTTTCGTTAAGCCTAGCTCAAGACTCACCAAATTCTGTGTCCTCCATCCGGTTAATAATAGGTTAAAAGAAAACCAACCTTTTCTTAGAGTTGGTGGCCTTTATTTAAAAAAGAATGCAGTGATTGCTTTGTTTGCTATTTAAAAATGGTAGCCTGCTCCCCATTCCCTCTACCGAGTGATGCCATTGATGATTTGGGTTGATTGTTTTGCCCTCGTTAAGTGGAGGGCGTTGCCACCTTCATTTAGTTTTGCTTTAGTAATTCATTTTCTCTTCATATAGGCCAAGATGGTGAATTATCAGGGACACTGTCACTTGTTTTGACACAGTGCTGTAAAAGAATAAAGGACACAGTCCAAAAACTGGCTTCCGATCACAAAGACATCCACAGCAGTGTTTCCCGGGTTGGAAAAGCCATTGATAAGGTAGGTTATTTACTGTATGCTTTAGTAGCTAAGAGTCCTATCATTCCACCCAAATGAGAGGCCCTAGAGTGTGGGGAAACGGCTGGCCATGGGCTGATAACCTTGGGGCCTCCAGCAGAGAACAGTGGGCTGCTGCCTTCAATTATACACGACACCTGCGTTACCTGTATCTTGTAAACCTGTTCTTTCTCGCTGACCCCTTCCCTGCCAATGGCCCTTCAGGTTTCTAGCTGCTCCTCCCTTCCCCCTTTGGACGAGGATGCTTTGTACTAGCCTTCCTGTGTAGGAAGGGGCCTGATCCTTTCTGTCCTGCACACCCTCCGCTCTCACCCCACCGACAACCCTTTTTGGCTCTTAGAAAGTGGGAGTCTGCTACGGGTCCGTGAATACTGGGGAGCCCAGCACTGACAGACTGCTGTAGCTGGCAGACGTTTGAGCAGTGAAGCCTTTTCCTGATCTTAGGTGCTAATAGACTGGGAACTAAACCTCTTTTTAAAAAAGTTTCCACCTCCCTGCGTTGTTTCCCCCCTTACTTCCCTAAATCGAGGAGGCAGCAGGGCCCAGAGCTTACGGCCATTTCATGATCTTTTGTGTTCATTTCTTTTCTCCCAGCTTACCCCTTGCAGTAGATCCAGAAGCTTCCTTCTTGTGCTCCCCACCCTTCTATCCCCTTAGTAGCCAAGAAGCGGTGAAACTTGGGTCCTGGTAGGTTTGGGCAGCATCAGCTTGCCTGCCAGACCAAGTCTCCAATAGTATGCATTCAGCTGCCCTAGGGAAGGAGGCCTTGGGCCCTGTCTCTGTGCCTGGTTATTGGCATTTGCCTGTGTCACTTAGGGCCCTCAGAGGGCCCTGTGATGAGCTAGGCCATCTCCTTTTTGGTGTGTGCTGCCTCAGGCTGCCTGCCCCGCATTCTTGCCCTCAGGTCGGCAGCCATTCCCCGCCCTGATACCATACCTCCCTGTGCCTGCATCATCTGGTGTATCTACTGTGCTTGTTTATCCCAGCTGGGATGTGTTTTAATGCCCCGGTAGAATGTATGCTCCTTGCGGACAGGCACTCTCACTTTGGTAGTTGTTACCTTGTGTAGGCATTTGACACATTGGCTGATGGAGGGTCAGAGTTCATAGATTTGGCGCTGAAAGGGAATTTTAGAGTTCATCGATTTGCAGGTGAGGAAGCTGAGGTTGTGAGGGGGAGATGACCTGCCCAGTGTTTCTGGGGTCATGTGGGTAGTGAGCAGTAGAGTTGGAGTTTGGGCCCCAGTTCTTTGACCCTGAATGCAGCAGTTGTAGCTTTTGAGTTGAGTGTTAGAGGAGAGAGAGAGAAGGATGGGACAGAACTCATGTGTCAGATGGTAGAAGAGGGGTGCCAAAAACCTCTGGCCAAGAGCCAGTAGCCTGGCACTTCAAGTAGGAAGGAGACTTTCTGGTTTGGCCCAGTCAATTTGTCATGGAGGGGGATTTCCCAAAGGGGCGGCCTAGAAAGAAATGCTTTGAGCAATAGCATTATCATTTTAGGACATGAATGTCGTAGCTTCCCAATGTGTCAGTAAGTCCCCTTTCCCCACACATCCACACCTATCTTATCTAATCTGAAGAGAGAGGGCCTTAGCAGTTAGTGGGGAGGTAGGGAAAGAAAGGCCTCGGAAGGTGGGATTTGGGCTGAGTCTAGAAGGAAGCTGGGGAGACCAAGAGGCAGAGGGGAAGGGTCAGAGCCTTCCAGGCTGTGGAGGAAAACCAGTGGGAAGTGTCATATGACGGAAACAGCGAGTGGGCCGGTGGTGTTGAGACTGAGTTCCCATAGGAGAATAATGTCTGGAAAGACTGGACAGGTAGGAAGGTGCTGAGTTGTGAAGGGTGTTTAAAGTGGGCCTGGAGTCAGGAAGACCTGCATTCAGATCTGAACTCAAATTTCCTAGTTGTGTGACCCTGGGCCATTCACTTTACCTCATTCCACCTCAGTTTCTTCCACTGTAACATGAGATTATAACAGTATCCGCCCCCAGAGTTGCCATGAGGATCATATGAAATCTTTTCTTAAAGCTCTTAGCACAGTGCTTCCATATGGCAGGCACTCTGTAAATTCTTATCCCCCAAACAGAGGAATTGCTGTTTGTTCATGGAGGTACTAGTGAGCCACTGAAGCTCGTTGAGGGGTGAAGTCATGCCTGTGTTTTAGGGAAATCATCTTGGCAGCTGAGTGGGGAGAGACTTAAGGCAGGGAAACCGATGGGGCTGTTGAAGCCATCTAGGCAAGAGGCAGTGAAGGCCCAGACTGGGCCTGTGGCTCTATGAGATGTTGTGACATGGAGACAGATTGAGGACAAGTCACTGTGGAGAGGAGCAAAGAGTCTTGCACTGAGGGCCCAGTTGAGATGAGATTGAACGTCTTTGTAGTGGCTTCTCAGAAGAGTTTTGGGATTTCCTCTTTTGCCAGCATGTGAATAGGAGTGAAAGAAGCAGATGGTGGGAGTGATCCAGGGTTGGGGCTTAGCAAGTCACAGTGGGTGTTAGAACAAGGGTGCAAGAGAACTGAGGGGAAAGAGGATGCAGTAGAGTTGGTTCAGTAAGGGCTCAAGATAGGGAAGCGGGGAGAGTGCCCCCACGTAATGGCCCAGTAAGATGGGAGTGACGGAGGAAATGGAAGTCACAGTGGGAATGAAGAACAGGATTAGGGTTTGTAAGGAGCCTAGGGAAAGATAAAAATGATGACCAGGAAAAGGAATTTTGGAGCTCATGACCATGGAAGTATAACCTTGTGGGCAATGGCAGGATCAAGGAGGTTGACCGTCTTTGTGTGTAGCAGAGATGGAATAGAGAAATAGGTTGTGAGCTTTCAAATTGTGCTAGAGAAGACTTTTCTTGAGAGTCCCTTGGAGAGCAAGGAGATCAAATCAATCAATACTTAAATTAATTCAGACTTTTCCGTGGAAGGTCAAATACTGAAGCTGAAATAGTTGACCACATAATGAGAAGACAGTGGAAAAGATCTTGATGTTGGGAAAGATTGGAGGCAAAAGAAGAAGGGGAAGGAGGAGGATGAGGTGGAGAGATAGTGTCATAGAAGCAGCAAACATGAGCTGGGACAGACTTTGGGAGAAATCAGAGGATAGAAGGTCCGTGGGGTCAAAAGAGTCAGACACAGCTGAATGACAGCAGGACCTAGGATGTTAAGAGCGTGTGAGGATGTATCAGTAAGTATGTTGAAGTTTCCTTTTTGTGGAGGGGGATGGGAGGATCCATGGGTCTGTATTTATTTTTAATCAGTCAATCAATTAATTATTTTTAGTTTTCAACATTTGCTTTTATAAGATGTTGAGTTCTAAATTGTTCCCCCTTCCTCTGCTCTTCCCCACCACCCAAGACAGCATGCAATCTGATATAGGCTATATGTGTATGATCATATTAAACATATCTCCATATTAGTCATGTTGCGAAAGAGGAATCAGAACAAAAGGGAAAAATTATGAGAAAGAAAACACACTCACTCACAAAAGAAAGAAAATAGTGTGCTCTGAACTGCATTCAGACTTCATAATTCTTCCTCTGGATGTGGTAGCTTTTTCCGTCATGAATCTTTTGGAATTGTCTTAGAGCCTTGCATTGCTGAGAAGAGCTAAGTCTATCAAAGTCAGTGATCACAGAATGTGGCTGTTACTGTGTACAGTCGTTCTGCTCACTTCACTCAGCATCAGTTCGTGCGGGTCTTTCCAGGTTTTTCTGAAATCTGCCTGCTCCTCATTTCTTATGAAACAATACTAGTCCACTACATTCATATCCCACAACTTGTTCTGTCATTCCCCAGTTGACGAGCCAAATCCCCTCAATTTCCAATTCTTTGCCACCACAAAAAGAGCTGCTAAAAATATATTTTTTGTACATGTGGGTCCTTTTCCCAATTTTATGATGTCTTTGGGATACAGACCTAGTAGTGCTATTGCTGGATCAAAGGAAGCTTCTTTTTTTGAAGGCAAGAGATGGTGAGAAGAGAGACTGTAAGCCAGGCGCTGAACACTCCTTAGGGAAGGAGGCAGATGTCCTAGGAGTAGATGGATAGGAGCCACCAGGATCTGAAGGGGTGATAAATTTGGATGGTGTGGACTTTGAAGGAGGAGAAGTTGATGAGTGAAGGCAGTTGAGGCACAAATATTCCAATTCCCATCTCGGTCTTGTGGGAAGGGAGCCAGGAAAGGCCAGAAGACAGCAGAGGTTTAAGGTGAAAGCAAGTTTGTTATATATGGAGCAGGAATTCCCGAGATCACAGGGGAGGAGGTGGGCACATCTGGAGTGGAACATTTTGGGGATAGGTATGAGTGGTCAGGTGTGAGAGTGGCGGATGAGGAATGAGGTTCAGGATCCCTGGAAAGGGCATGGAGTAGGCTAACCATTGAGTAGGGTGTGCTGGTGTGGTGTCATTGGTTGGAGACAAGTTCATTGAGAGAGGCATGATATTAGACTGGATGTCATTCTTAAAGTTTGTGAGAGGGTGGGCAGTAGAGAGATATTTTTCCATTTCTTTTGACTGTTCCCTATACTTTTAATGCCAGAATGTCTTTAGATCTAAGACTGCATTTTCAGATGTCTTACTCATGTTTGAAAGATGGATGTGGTACATTTCTTTTAAAAAGGCAAACCAGGGATTATGTTTTAGTTTGTAATGAATTTTTCTTAAATTTTAAAAATGTTTGGAGAGATAAATAATTGTGTGATTTGAATAGATAAAATACCAGGTGATGCTGTGGAAGCATCTGCTGGTAGAGCTGATATAAGTGCCTAGGCCCAAGGGAGGAGGACTGTACTATTCTGTTTCAAACTCTCTGCTTTCTTCACTTTAAAAGAGGGGGATATTTGCCTCGTGTCAGTGACTTAGAATGGCTGGGTGTGGGGGCTGTTTTTAGCTTGGTTGTTGATCGATTCAACTGTCTCCAGTCTTTGGAGGCTCTTGTTAGAGCTTTCTTCTGAGTCAGATCAAATCTTTGCCGATGTCTTCACCCTTTGAGT